TGACTTTTGAAACAAGTTGTGTAGTGAATATTGTGGTAAACGACATGAAACAGATTTGAGGTAATGGAGACGATTTGTGGCGTATTACACAATGCACTCATATTCTGTTAGATCTTTAGTGTAGCACAATAATTTTCATTAATTTGATATTGCCGACAACAATATGCATGTATGCTGCATATTTTTAAACGAATCTCTGTCAATAAGTAAAAACATAGCAGATATCTTGAATTCCTTTTTGTCTGATCATTAATAAAATTTTAAACTTGCATTATAAGTTTATTATAACTTTAATATTAGATTAACTAAATTCGTGTGTTTCCCCGCGAAATCATTAAATCTGCTTCGAATGAAAAAAGAAAACTCAATAGGAAAATAAAAATTAATAGAAAATGGAGTAGGATGAACAAAACTTCATGTATAGTCAAAATTTTATTAAGTTAAACATATAAATAAATCCTTATAAATAGCTACTGAGAATAAACCGATTTTTCAAAAAAATATCATAAGCTAAACTGATATTTAGAAATAAAATGCATAAAGATTCTCAACCAAATATTTTAGCTCTTTCATACCATATTTCTTCGAAACGAAAGTTTCAATTCGATAGATCTTGATAAAATTTACGTGCCATATTTATTGAATGGAAATCTTGTTAGCGTATTAAAAAACATATAAATGAACCTTCAAAGAAGGCTCCAAATAATTTTATATTGTACCGAAAAGCAAAGAGACTTTAATATTTCATGGATTTTGTCTTAGTGCAAGCAAAATATCTCGACAGACGTCAAAAAACTGGAAGGCCCTTGCTGATCCGTTAAACAAGAATATAAAAAATTGTAGAAGAGCGCCGCGAAAACACTGAAAAACATGCTGCTGTTCCTTCTTTAAGAATAAATGGCGTATTGTCAATTCTTCTGATATGAAAAGAAAAATAAAAAAAAGGAAAAGCCATTCTGGACAATACTTCAGAACCTAGTGAAGCAAATTTATTGCAAGAGCCGCCTATGATGACAACTAATGCTCAAGAGAACGCTTATACTTCCATATACAGATTTAAGTTATATTGATCCATTTGAAGAAACTTTTTACATATACATATGATTTGCCGGAAACTATGTTGTTAAATCAAAACCTAATATATCCTGAACTTTCTATAATGCATTTTTATGAAAAGTTTGATGATAGTACATCAAAGCATTTCAACTACTTTTCATGAAACAAAATCGGAATACATGTACTTTATGTATCACGTGTAACCTTGTATTACATCAGCTATTGCAAAAGAACATTTTGTATATGCATGTCCATGTACATGTGCTTGTATAACTGCACTGCATTATTGGAAAAACAACAATGTAAACTTTTTTATTATTCTAAAGATGTCTATTTCTATTATATCGATTAATTTAATAATAAAACAAAGTCTTATTGTGGACCATTATGAACGGAAAAGACAATATCCGATAGCTTATTGTTTAATTTGACAAATATTTTGCATCTTTAATTAGTTACTATAGATTTGGATAAGCGTGTCCGTGAGTAATATACTTCACTGAAGTTGAATTATAAGTAGATTACAAATCACAAGTTTATATCAATACTTTGGAATCAATTTAGCTGCAATGAAAGGCCTCTTTGTACCAAAAAATTTAGTGAGGCGAATATAACTAGCAATAAAGTCTGCTGTACCCACCCAAGTCAAAAAATTAATTTTTTTTGGGAGATTACAACTTTCTCCAAATCACCCCGCAGTTTCTCAAAAAGAAAAGAATTAGACAGTGGGTGTATATATATGTATATGCATTAATAGATAGAAGTTCTCCCTTCCGCAGTTTGTCCTATAATAAATTCATTAGAAAAATAGAAAATTATAAACATATATAATATTAATATATTTTTAGTTGGCGTTTGTGGTAGCCAAAGTTGAGTTTGCGGCGGACGAGACACTAAACAAGTCATTCAGGTCTTTTAATTTAGTATGATTATAATGGAACAAGATGACGCATATATTTGTAATTTCCTATACCTCAGAAGAGCATTTTATTATCAAAAATGCATCTTTCACGAAAGTATTTAAGCTATTGCTTCTGAGTTTTATGTAATATATTCAAATCAAATTATTACAATAATTAATATAATTAAAATAATCTTATTTATCAAATACTATGCCAATACAAATAGAATGAATTGTCCCTATATGCAATTCATTCCTTCATCATTGTATCGTCTTTATTTTTCCCTTCTTTAATTATCTTCAATTTCATCATTATCTTTATCTCATCATCGTTTTCCTCATTAACGATATTTAGCCACACTTAATTAGTTTTGATATTACACTTTAAAATAATAATTCAATATAATTTTTAATGGAAGTTTACCTATATATAAAGGTGTAGATGATTAATATTAATTAAATTGATTCTAAATAATTAATTATTATAATAACAATTATAAAATGATTTTTATAATAATAGTATTAATTATTATAATAAAATATAGGAAATTACAAAATATTCAATTACTACCAACTTCTCATAAGTTATACATAATATATCAAAATTTTTCTACTCTCTTTGGGTATATATTGGCAAATTTTTTGGATTTTTGAAGATTCGGGATTTTTGGGCATTCGGGATTTTAGGATTTCGAGATGTTGGGTATTCAGAATTTTGAGTATTCGGAGGTTAATATTTCGGGAATTTAGGCTTTCAGGATTTTGGATACTTATGATTTTGGACATTCGAGATTTTGGCATTTTAGGATGTTGGGCATTCGGATTAGGGGACTATGGGAATAGAGAGTGATACCTTTTTTTTTGGAGTTCAGAGACTATGGTTCATTTTCAGTTGCTAAGTTTTCACTTTAAACGCACTTGGCGTGAGCGTTGGGATTTTGGCGTTCAGGATTTTGGGCGGCCCCCACTAATAATAGTTCCTTATATATATGTTCATAGATACCTAAAAATACACATATTCGAACAAATTTGATGAGTTGTAAATAGTTAAATTTGTGTAGTTGACTAATTTTACATGTATTAAGTATTATTAAAATAAATAAAATATTAAACTACTCTTTAGCATAAAATATTAAATTATAATTAGTAAATAAATTCATGGAATAATGGTTAGGAATGTTTTCTATATTACAAACACCATTAACTTAGCAGGAATTTGCAAATGGAATATGAAAATAATTCAAGCTATTGAATAATAAGCTCAATTCATTTTTTAATATAGATAGCATTTTACATATTCAATTTATGTTAAAAATTTGTTCGAATTTAGATTTTGATAAATTTTTTTTCATTCAACAAAACATGACCAGACGATTGCTTGAGATTAGGTACTTCAATTGCATACAACAACAATCCTATTTGTGCCATCCATCTTAATTTATTATTTATTGTTCCACAATGCGAACGTTTTCCCAACAATCAATTTTTAATAAACTAGATAGCAGATTGAGACATCGAAAATATCATTAACATAATGATCTTCGAATTGACAATTAAAGAGCATAAACAAATTACCGCAACATATGTAACTCTAAGTGGTAAATAAAAATGGCGCACTTAAAAGAAAGAAAAGTTCGTTGTCAAATAAACTTACGTGCTTAGTGCGTTTAATTCGATTCAAAATCTTTTATGACAATCTTATCAGTTATTGATTTGATGCGTCCTTTAGAGAATACGAATAGTAATGATTCTGCATTTAAGCGTTGAAGACGATTTCTCAATCTTTTTCCGTTTGCCGAGGCATTATTAATAGAATGCGAGCAACATCCTGTTGAACACCTGACATTTGGTCAATTGGTAAATATTGGCTGATAAAAAATCTAATGAGCTGGCAATTACAGCAGATCACATGTACATGTACAGTATACATTACGTATACGTACATTATCTTGGCATTTAAACATTTAAATGTAATCAATAATTATACAAATACATATGGATGCATGACTTACTGTGAAAATACATTATTTACATTGATATTGCATACATGTACAACCATTAGTTACACATGTACATGTAAAACCTTATACGGGATTTTGAATCCCGGGTATTTTGAGTTGGCGTGCAAAAAATTTGGAAGCTTTCGTTAATATTACTAATTAATGTGTGGATATGATTGTTGATGTTAATAGAGAAGAAGGAATGAATTGTATGTAAAGATAATTCACTATTTTGCTAAAGTGTTTTAATATTAAGCGTTCCTTTTAATTATACAATAGTTTAATGTTGTCATTGATGTTAATTTATTAAATGAGATTTTCCTTTTATTAAAGAAGTAATCACAGAGATACTTTCGTGATAGAAACATTTTTAATAACATTCTTCTAATACAAATGCATATATCATCTTGCCGCATTATAATTTTAATAAATTAAAGATCCCAATGAATTTTTTGATGTCATATCTCTGCAAATTTGCAAGCTCTTTTTTTACCATAAACACCGAGATAAAAATTCGAGAAATTTATAAAAATACATCAATAATGTAATTTTTCTAATGAATTTTATTTATAGGACAAACTGTGGCTGTTGTACATAGAGAAAAACCTCAAACTTCTATCTTTTCATGGTATATAAAATATTTGTTCATTATAGTTAAATTGTTCCTGTGAATATCGACATAAAATCGCATTTATAAGTGACAGTAAAGAATAAACTTAAAACTTCTATAAAGAATATTAATTATCTTTACCACGGGTATGTCAAATGTCCGAATCTATATTAACTTATTAATGATGATTCATTTGTTTCACAAAAAAGACTTTGTTTCATTCATATGGATAAATAATATCTTAAATAATAAAAAAAGAAACCTGAGTTTATTTCAATAATAAATATAGTAACTGTATTACATGTATACCGATACACATGTACATTGTGTACATTAAGGCTATTGTAATTAAATCTTATTATATGCTTAATTATGTTTAATAAGCTTTTTAATTTCTATATAAACAATGTTCTTTTACAATAGCAGCTCTTTTTTAGAGAACTATATGATTCATAAAGTACTCTGTTTCTTGAAAATTAGTTGAAATGCTTTGAAACTCGACTTCTGTATTATCAGTAAAATGTTCATAAAAATGTATCATAGGAAGTTCCGGATACATTGGATTTTGATTTAATACGTGTAGCATAGTTTCCGGTAAATTATATATATATGTAAAAAGTTCTTCAAATTGATCAGCATGACTTAAATCTGTATATGTAAAAAGTTCTTCAAACTGATCAGTATAACTTAAATCTGTATATGAAAATATAAAGTTTTCTTGAGCGTTAATTGGCGACATAGGTGAGTCTTGCAATAAATTTGCTGTGTAAAGTTCTGATGTATTGTCCAGGGATGGCTTTTTCTTTTTATTTATTTTTCGTTGCATATCGGAAGGCTTGATAATACGCCATTTATTCTTCGAATTCTTAAAAGAAGGCATAATCGCATGCTTTTCGGTGTTTTCGCGGAACTCTTCAGCAATTTTTTTATATTCTTGCTTAACCGGATCGGCAAGGGACTTCCAGTTTTTCGATGCCTGTCGAGATATTTCGCTTGCACTAAGACGAAATCCATGATATATTGAAATCTCCTTAAATGCCTTTCGGTACAATATAAAACTATTTGGCGTCTTCTTTGATGGGTCATTCAAATTGTTTTTTAACACGCTGACAAGATTTTCATCCAGTGGATATGGCACGTCAATTTTATCAAGATCTATCGAATTGAAACTTCCGTTTCGAATGAAATATGGCATGAAAGAGCTAAAATTTTTGTTTTGAGAATCTTTAGGCATTTTATTTCTAAATATTAATTTAGCTTATGATATCTTTTTTTTGAAAAGTTGGTTGGTTCTATTAAGCGTATTTATACGTTTTTAAGCTTAATAAATTTAGACTATACATGCATTTTTATTCGTCTATTTTATTTCTATTATTTTTTATTTTCCTATTAAGTTTTCTTTTTTCCATTCGAGAAAACGATTGTATAATTTTTGGGAGAAATTTATTTAATATAATATAATAAACTTACATTGTAATTTTAAAATTTTACTAGAATCAGACAGAAGGAACTCGAGATATCTAGTTCGTTGATAAATGATTCTTTGTTTATCATTCAAAGTATGCAGTATTCATTCATGCATGTTGTCTTCGGCGATATCAAATTTTATTATTGAGATGATGTTATTGTGCCACATCAGTCTTGTGTAATACGCGCCACAACGATTTCTTGATGACCTCAAATATCGAATTTCTGTGCTTCTATTCGTTATCATTATTTTAAAATAATTTGTTCTAATAGGAAGATAAATCTCTCTTTCTTTGTTTTCTTCAATTTTTCACTAATATCTAAAAATAATAATTTATTTCTTTTTAATTTTAAGTTCATTGGATCGCTTTTCACGGACAATCTTTATATACATATCTACGATTGGTTCATTAAACACAAATGCGTATTATCGATAATGTTTGGATTCGAATAGAAGATTATTCGAATATACATGTATTTGAATAAATAATAAATAACAGCACTTGTGCTTGTGGCTGTATCCTAATTCCTGCCAGTTTTACTACAAGTCGACGATCCAACAACTAACGCAATGACTCAATCCACGTGATTTTACCACCATTTTGATTCGTTTAGTCAAGATGATAGCGAATCGGGATCAACACATATGCCGAGTTTATTGTATTTTTTATTTTTTATAAACCATTGTAAAATTAATAACTTTTGATAAAATTGTTAATTTATTGAGTAATTGCATGCCAAATCAACTAACATTTGAAAATGAGCATTTATGTATATAGTAATTAACTTTATTAACAATCACTAATTTCACTAAGAATTAATAATGAATATGATTTTTTAAGAATAAAACTTATTATTATCACTTTTCCTTTTAATACAAGTTTGTACGCACTCATAATCGACATGATTTTCTTGCATACCACTGAATTTAAAGCTTTTGAAACAATTTGTCAAAGTTTTTGAAATTATAGAAATAATTTAATCATGTATGACTTTTATGATATCCCAAAAATCGAGTTCTAAATAAAATTTGACAAGCATAAATTTTCAGCTCATTCAAGGAAGGAAAGCGCAAATTTTTTTCCGAAAAAAAACTTTGAACCAATCAAATTGAGCGTTAATATCTGATTTTATGTCTTTATTCTGGGTGCACCATATACACACATCAGGGACACGGGAAAATTCATATATCATGATGTCGGTACAAAACGGAATTTTGAGATAATAAATTGGTATTAATGAGAATTTTTATGAGATATTTATGTAATACAAAAATACTGTTTTATGCATCCCAAATTTATGAACAAAAATTACAATTTTTTTGTTTTTCTTAAAAATGCCTCCTAAGCAAAAACAAATAACTGCATATAGTCGTGCACAAGATTTTCCTGAAGATTTTGTTATGATAATAGAATTTTACATGTATGTCAGTTTGTAGTCACTCAATTAAATGGGAACCTAAAATAATTACTATTTCGCATTAATACAACAATAAGTCATAAAAAATCATAATCTTGTACAAATAACACAACAAATGTTAAATTCGACACCTAAAAATAATATCTATGACATTTTTACAAAAATAGAAATTTAAATGAAGTTGAATTGATTTTTGGAACAAAATTTCATATCAATTATATTTAGACACCAATTTCATCATGTACTTATACAAAATTTTGGATGTTAGGCAAAATCTTAGTTAAGAATCTCTTCGTGACATACAATAATGTACTATAATAAGAATTGATATTATATGATCAATAAAATTCAATTGCAAAATGCAACCGGATTTTTTCAAATCAAAATGGAATTTTTTCAAATCACAATGAGATTTTTCCGGGTCCTTACTCATATCATCCTATGTATATTGATGAAAATCACAAAAAACATATTGATTTGCATTTTTTTAAACGTTGCGCAGGTCAAAAATAGTATTGATCTGCGTATTTATTATCTTTATTGAAAAATTTTGGGGGGTACTTTAAAGAACGCTTTGCAGTAATTATCATTATCTAATGAACAATGTAGATAAAGATTGTCCGTGAAAAGCGAACCAATAAAATTTAGAATTATAAAAAAATTTATCGCGTTCTAAAAATTGGAATAATTATTATTTTTAGATATTTTGGTAAAAAATTGCAGAATATAAACAAAGAAAGATTTATCTTCCTATAGAAACAAATTAAAAAAATCTACATTTGTCAATAATGGTAACGATAATGTGGCTTCTGTGGAGTGAATATCGTGGCAAACGACATGAAACAGAAACAATTTGTGACGTACATGTATTACGCAATGTGTGGCGTATTACACAATGATGTATTCTTGATCTTGAGTGTGGCACAATAACATCAATACATGACAAATTTGATATCGCCGCCGATGACAATATGCATGTATGCTGCATATTTTAAATGATGGAACAAAAACATGGTAGATATCTTGAGTTCCTTTTTTGTCTGATCTCTAATAAATTTTAAAACTTACATTGTAAGTTTATTATAATTTTAATATTAGATTACTAAATTCGTGCCTTCCCTTCCCTTGCGAAAGTCATAAAATCTGTTCGAATAAAAAAGAAAACTCAATAGGAAAATAAAAATTAATAGAAAATAAAGTAATGAAAATATATGTATAATCAAAATTTATTAAGTTAAACATTAATCCTTATAAATAGCTGCTTGAGAACAAATCAATTTTCAAAAAAAAATCATAAGCTAAATTGACATTAGAAATAAAATGCCTAAAGATTCTCAGACCAATAATTTTAGCTCTTTCATGCTATATTTCATTCGAAGCGAGGGTTTTAATTCGATAGGTCTTGATGAATTCGAAACGAAAGTTTCAATTCGATAGATTTTGATAAAATTGACGTAACGTATCCACTGGATGAAAATCTTGTTAGCGTGTTAAAAACAATTTGAACAAACCTTCTAAAGAAGGCGCCAAATAGTTTTATATTATACCAAAAAGCTTTTAAAGAAATTATGGAATACGTCTTAGTGCAAGCGAAATATCTCGACAGGCATCAAAAAACTGGAAGACCCTTGCTGACCCGGTTAAGCAAGAATACAAAAAAATTGCTAAAGAGCTCCATGAAACACCGAAAAAATGCTTCTGTGCCTTCTTTTAAGTATAAATGGTGTATTGTCAATTCTTATGATATGAAACAAAAAATAAATAAAAAGAAAAAGCCATCCCTGGACAAAACATCAGAACCTAATGCGGCAAATTTATTGCAAGAGCTACCTATGACGACAGTTAATGCTCAAGAAAACTCTATATTTTAACGGGTTCTTGCTTCACCCTCCCTTTTTGGGAAAAAAAAACTCTATATTTCCATATGCAGATTTAAGTTATATCGATCCGTTTGAAGAACTTTTTACATATACACATGATTTGCCGGAAACTATGCTATTAAATCAAAATTTAATATATCTGAAATTTTTTATGAAACATTTTATCAATAGTACAAAAAATGATTTTGAAACAGAATCGGAATACTTTATGAATCATGTGTAACTTTATATTACATCAGTTCTCTTAAAATTCTATTATTGCAAAAGAACATTTTTAGTATAAAATCAATAAGCTTATTAATTATAAATCAAATATAGACTGATCTTAATGATACATGTACATGTAATAAGATTTTAATTATAATAGCTTGACACAATGTGTATCGGTTGATACATGTACATGCACATGCATAACTGCATTATTGGAAAAACAACAATGTAAACTCGAAGCTTTCTTTTTTTGTTATTCTAAAGAACAAGAATGAACTAAAATCTTATTGTGAACTGTTATGAACGGACGAATCATATAAAAGATAAGATGTTTAGCTAGTAGAATTTGGATTACAATGTTTTTATTGGTATCTTGTTTAATTTGACAAATAATTTGCATATTTAATTAGCTAATACAGATTCGGATAAGCATGTCCGTGATAAAGACGAGTAAATATTCTTTATAGAATTTAAAAATGAAGTTGAGTTATAAGTGGATTACAAATCTGTTTGCGCCAAAAAATTAGCAATAAGCCTGCTATACCTACACAAGTCAAAAAATCAATTATTTTGGAAGACTACGGCTTTCTCCAAACCGCAGTTTCTCAAAAGAATACTTAGAAAAAGAATTAGACAGAGTGTATATACAGGGGGTGGAAAGAAGTATTGGACACTTGATATCCAATGAAAATATATCTGTAACATTACACCTCTTGCCAATTCTGGCAATTGTTTTTATCATATGAAAATGCAGTTTGTTGTGATCGTAAATCATTACTATATGTAAGTTTTTTAATAAGTTTGTGAGCCACAAAGTCATACATGATCTATCATTACATAAATCATCTTGTGAAATTTACCGCATATCAATGTGCCATGGAAAAGAATTAATGGAGAGGCAAAATGGAGGTATTATTATAGCAAAGAAACTTGGACATATGTATAGTGAGATTTCTAGAGTCATAGGTTGTTCTTGTTTTTTAATATTACAAGTATTGGCAATACATGAGTCTCAAGAACCTTCTAAGCAAAAAATAGGTCATCCACAAATCCTTAATGAATCTGAATGCAAAAAACTCAAGTTTTCAATAACCAAAAACAAAAATACACAACAAACTTTTTTTCAAATACATTTAAACTTTATAAATAATAATATAAATATTTCTACATGAACCATTTGTAAAGAATTAGCTAAGAAAAATATTCACTCTTGTATTCAACATCATAAGTTACTAATTTCTAAAATTAATAAAACAAA